TTTTTTCTTTGCTCTTCTTTTTGCATTTCAAATTATTGGTATTATCAGTTTATTTGCAATAACAATTAGTATTTCCATTTCATTTTTGTATTCAATTTTTTTTGCAACACATAAAAATACAAATAATTCATAAAAGTAATGTAGGTAATTCAGAGTAGCGTATTAATTGTATTTGATTTGGGTTGCACGTGAACAATTTCAAGAGTCTTGAGAATACCTCATATTGCTCTAAAATCATATATCAGAAGTAATGTAATATAAATGTGAAATTTATTACCAAAATATAAAATTTCAATTTAATTGAATGAATAAATTTTGTGTAATTGTCGATTCAGAATGTTTTAATATCAACGAGTGATTCGACAGTGTATTTGCTATCATTAATTTACTACCATTTAATTTAATTTAGTAATGCAAATTTTAATGAAAGAACAATTTTCAGAACAGTATCATAATTGTAATCAATTAATATATAAATGATATCAGTGATATTATCACTCCTATTTATAATGTATTGAATGGTTGACGCAAAATTAGTAGTAATATTTGTTTATCGTGATAACGATATCTTTCAGGATGAATATTCTGTCGGTATCTGAAAATAATAAAAATCTTATCAAAATTTGCATTGCTAAAAGTAATACCGTTCGTTTTTGAACCACGGCACTTTTTATTTTCATGAAAGTAAATCTAACTTTTAACCAATTTTGGTATTACTTGGATTTAATTGCAAACAAATAATTAAAATATATTGGGCTTGTTGTTATATTGGATAAACAAATTATCAATGAATGGTTGATTAATTGTAGCAAATAATAGCAACGGCAATTTTCCAAGATAAAAATTATTCTTAGTTTTTATTTTCATTGTAATTTAAATTTATAAAATCCAATCTTGTTAATTATTCAATTTGTAATTCATGATTGAATATGTGTGAAAAGCAAAGAAAAAATTATTATCAATAAATTTTTATAAGTAGAATTTTTTGCCACTCTATTTGGTAAATGTAAATAATTTAGTTCTTTTTTTTGGATATTCAAATGGCTTCGATGCATCTGTAATATACCATGAATAATAATAGCAATTCCAATATTATTTCCGGTATAGTAAAAGATTTTGGTTGAATAAAGGCAATAGGAAAAATTGAAAAATAATTCTTTTGGTTCTTTAGACTAAATTGGCTGACATTTTAGGATATATGACAATTTGAATGGAATGAATGATTGCATAATAAATGAATTTGATGGTAGTGGTGGTAATGGAATAAAGGAATGAAGCAGGAAGTAAAGTTATTGAGAGAGAGAGAGAGAGAGAGAGAGAGAGAATTTTTCCATTTATACTTTAAGCCTTATTCTCTTATTTGAATTTAAGCAACGAATGAAATTTGTCGAATAAATTGACAAAAGAGGTGAGTGAAAGAATTGATGAAAATATATTTGAAGGCATAAGTAAATGATTGGAAGGAGTTTTAGATTTTGCTCCAAACATTTTACAAACATTATTATACGCATGATTGATTGCTTGCTGGAAAATCGTTTTATGTTGAAAGAGTTGTTTGATTTGATTCATGCGAAAGAGTATATTTTTTCCTTCATAATATGTGTAACAGTCATTTTTTCTCCTTCAATGATCAGTTAATTTATTATTATTTTATCGAATTTTTATTTGCAAAAATATTCTATTCTCCTGACAATTTTTATTAATTAATTTTATTTTGTGCTAAAAAGTTTTTTTTTAGTATAGAAATAATTGCTTGTTGTTTGAATTTTAAACAATTTCAAATAAGTAAGCAAGGTTACAGCATATTTGAAATGAAGGATTTCTGATATGTACTACGAATTTGATCGTAATTAAATTGAATT